GGGGGGGGGGGGGGGGGGGGGGGGGGGGGGGGATAGATTGAAATGCTCAGTTTGTCGAAAAATGAGAAAGTGTCCCAATCGTTTTGGCCAGGATTATAGACTCTTCCACATAACAGACGTAGTTTATCAATCACGAGAGACCGTATTGAGGTAATATATCAAGCATGAAAGAAAGACCGTGTTTGACCACATTTCCAAACACCGAGAAAAGAGATGAAACTACGACACGTAGTGGAGTATTTTCGCCGAACTTGGAGGTCTGTGAAGATTTGGTTAAACACTGTTTTGAGTGTTTGATGTATCTTCTCATTCGAAACTAAAACTAACGACTGGAGAAAATGGAGAAAAAGTCTGTGCTAAGATCAGATATCCAAACAACGTCAGTGTAAGATTTCCTTTGTTTAAACTTGATGAAGAGTTAATCAGTGTGAGATGGCTCTTTAAAGTGNGGTAATCTGTATGTGTGCTGTAGTCGTGTTTGGTGCGTTGGCGTGGCTTGTCTATGCTTTCGCACATCCTACCTCCAGATCGGGACTTTGTCTTCAGGTATGTACATGGGACTGTAGATCGTTTGCCTTCTTATTTAAGAAGTATATGCACTCTATGGAACCCTTGTTGGACCAAACACGTCTCTAAACAGACACTACTCTAAACTACAATCCTGGCCAAAAGGGTTTGGGACACTTCCCCTTGTTCTCGCTTTTTTGCGTGGCAGCTGTGAGAAACCAACAATTTGAAGTCATATTAATAGTGTTGTAAAGATCTTTTCCCTGCTCCCCCTGAACAATGTTGAAGTCATAACACATCCGTGACTCCTGACAACCAACATTGTCCAGGTGGGGATAGATTGAAATACTCAGTTTGTGGAAAAATGGGAAAGTGTCCCAATCGTTTTGGCCAGGATTATAGACTCCTCAACAGAACAGACGTAATTTATCAAACACGAGAGACCGTGTTGAAGTAATATATCAAGCATGAAAGAAAGACCGTGTTTGACCACATTTCCAAACACCGAGAGGAGATGAAACTACGACGCGCAGTGGAGTATTTTCGCCGAACTTGGAGGTCTTTGAAAATTTGGTCAAACACTATTTTGAGTGTTAGATGTATTTTCTCATTCGAAACTAAAACTAAGGAGAAAATGGAGAAAAAGTCTGTGCTAAGATCAGATATCCAAACACCGTCAGTGTAAGATTTCCTTTGTTTAAACTTGATGAAGAGTTAATCAGTGTGAGATGGCTCTTTAAAGTGAACTCCCTACACTTCCTGTCTCTAGCAAACTTGACGCTTCATCGTGATGTTGTCTTATACTGCATACTGCATGCAGGTCTTCGTAAGATCAAACAATGTAAGTTGAATAAAAATGACCTTGGTGCGCGAGCAAGACCGCATGCTACCAGAGAAGCTTTAACAAGAAGTTTTAGTTGTACACTCTGTTTTTTTCTTCTCTTACTTACACAGCACTGCCCTGGAAGATGCTGCAGGAAGTGTACAGCAAATTACCAAGAAACTGGTCCAACAAACTCTTATGTGTTTAACAAAGTTCTTTTTTAATCTGACAGACCACAGATGGTTCCAAACTTCATGTAACAGATATATTGTGTCTAGTAACGAAGCGTATTATAATCGCCCTTCTGCGATCTACTTTCAAGTCCAAAGTGGCAAAAAAAAAAATCATAGTTATCTAAAGGGATAATGATCTAAGGTAAAAGATCTGTAAAAAACAAAACGAAACAGAATGTTCTGCTTAACTCTGCGTGTTGTTGGGCTCGCAATAACATGGTGTACTTGTATACTAAAAGGGAAACAAAAGGTCAGCGGAGTGTTGTAAGTAAGTAAAAGCTTTATTAATGTGTCATTGTATTTAGTTTTCACAACTAATTGGGGACACAACAAAAAAAATTTAAATTATTTACAAGTACGGAATAATAATAAAAATGCATATACGATTAAAATATGTAGCATGTATAAATTGTACAATAAAACAATGGGTATATAATAGGTAGTCTCTAAGAATTGCAAAGGTTACAGCAGCTATTGTTGTTGGTAAAAACCCGCATAAAAGAACAAGTGGATTAACAACACTCGGCTGAAATTTGGTCAAAAAAGTACCATATACATAAGAACACATTCAGCCTGAAATATGAAAATTGCTCTTATATAAAAAAAATTGGCTGCCAGTTAGATTAGAATAACCTACTATGGAAGAGTACTTAGTACAGCACTAAGTAGATCAATATATGTGCTATCCACTAATTAATTAAAATGTTGTGCTAGCACATTGATTTCATCTGTTGGTAGTCTATACAGTATTTAATTTTAAGAAACAATTTTAAGAAGTCTAAGAACGTCTTAAGAACATTTTCGGGCTGATTTTGCAGAAAACACCCGATGTATAAGAACAAAATCAGCCTGAACCCCCAAAACATGTGTTCCTNTGGCTGCCAGTTAGATTAGAATAACCTTCTAGGGTACAATTCTAAGTACAGTACTAAGTAGATCAATAAATGAGTTATCCATTAATTAATTAATTAATTAATTAATTAATTAAAATGTTGTGCTTGCACATTGATTTCATCTGTTGGTAGTCTATGCAGTAATTAAGACTGAACACCTTAACAACATTTTCAGGCTGATATTGCAGAAAACATCCGATGTATAAGCCTAAACCCCCAAAACACGTGTTCTTTTATGCGGGTATTTACTGTATTTGATGCACATGTTTAAATGCTATTGCAAATCGAAATAAGATCCAATTTTATATAGTCAAAAACCACCCAAGATTTCAGTTTTAGCCTAGTATCTTTCTGTCGTCCAATATATAACCTTTTCGGAAATCTCGTTTTTTAGAGAACAGACTTTTCTTAGTATAGCACACTGACTGTTTTACAGTCCTAAAACACTTCATCACTACGTACACTTCTGCGCCGCGTGCACTTCAAAATTAAATCACGCCTTGTAATTTGTTTCTCGAACTATAGTCATTTTTTTTTAAATTTCATTTTCACTCCACCCTTTTACAAAATCACAAGGTTTCACGCGCGTTTTAAGTTAACCTTTGCAGGTGGGGTCACATAATTAATAGACATACACAGGCGTATGTCAGAAAAAATTGTTAAAAAAAAATAAAATAAAATAAAACAAAATTGATATTGCCAAATTTAGCTTAATGGTCCAGGGCCCGGTTGTTCAAAGACGGTTACGTTAAGTTCTAACCCGAGATTAACCTTTTTACAAGAAGAAAACCTTGCGTTTGTTTGTTTGTTTGTTTGTTGTTGTTGTTGTTGTTGTTGACTTTGCTGTTGTTCGAAGATATGTTACGGGTAAACTCTGGTTAAACAGCGAGTTAAATTTAACTCACCTCGCTACATGGGCTTACTCGCTAACCTCGGGTTAAATATAGTAAANACGTTTAAGAGATGATAGGGCGCGTATACCTTCAGTTCAAGAAACAAACTGTATTCATCATCTGCGAATATATTACGACAATGAACACACAAATAATCGATCAGCTCACAGTTGACTTGATAACTCAGTTGGTAAAGCAATGCACCGATATAGTAGCGGTCATAGTTTTGAATCCCGTTCAAGCTTGACTTTTGCCTCAATTTTTTTTTTCAGGCTTTATTCTCTGCTAAAGAGAAATTAATGTTATGCAATGGTTAGTAGACTTAAAGAGAATATCTTCAAATTGTTCTTTTTTGTTGTTATAGGAAGCAAAGATTTCGTCAGTGGAGTATTCCATAGAAATTAAACATCAAGATATGAACCAAGAAACTTCTGCAAGGACATTGGAAATAGAAAAGACAAGTTTGCTTTGATTTTCTTTCGTTGCCATTGTCTAATACAAGTACAACTGGTTTTCTTTTTTCAGAGAAGCAGTAGAGAAACGAACGTTTTAGTTTTTTTTTGTCGTGGTTGCAAACGAATTTTTTTAATGTTGTTGTCGAAATTAATCAGGCATATCTCTTACGAAGGCTAGGACCTGTCGAGCGACTTTGTTACCTAACATTGATGCAAAGTTTCTCAGTTCGATGGGGCGGACAGAGGGGTCCCCATGTGAAAGAGGCGGGGGTGTTTTTTGTTGTCTCTTTTAGAGAATTTTCTTGTGAACTTTATTCAATACTTGAACCAATTTTCTCAGCAATCATTGAATTCTTAATTTCATCTTACTGTGTAAGTGATTTAAATCGACCAGTCATGGAAGTATTTAAACCTCTTCACAGAAGAAAGCCTTGAATGAAATTGTCACGAAAGTCATTAAAGTTCTGATTTGCCTTTTTTAGAAGTTGTATCTTTAAGGGATAAAATATAGCTTAAGCCACACCCGAGGTGTTTAGGGGTTTCAACATTCAATTTTCTTTCGACAAACTTCCATGCCCCTTTCACGTGTTTATCTCCCTTAGCGAGCCAATCGACTGATTGGTTTTCTAAGAGGATGGAAAAAGTTTCTAGTTGTTCAAAATAACNAACTTCCACGCCCCTTTCACGTGTTTATCTCCCTTAGCGAGCCAATCGACTGATTGGTTTTCTAAGAGGATGGAAAAAGTTTCTAGTTGTTCAAAATAACGAATAATAACAATTTAGACTTTATTAGGCGCAGATATAATGTTCAGTTGCGAATGTAAATTACTTAGAACTTGTGATTCATTAAAAATGTAAACGTGTGAGATAAAATGACATTGCTTTAAAATAAATCATCGGATAAGGGACAAAATTAAAAAAAGAATTATCAAAAAGCTCCTTCAAGCAAGAAGTCTTAATAAAAGTTTTTGGAGGCGTCAATTGAGCAGGCACCGCTAGCGTCAGGTTGATTGTACATATCATTATTGTTTTTACTTTTTAGCATAACGTGTGATTATTTTAGATTGTATTTCATGATTCTTGCTTATATATAGAAATTTTGAAACATTAACGCATATCATAATTATAATATTACTTTTAATTTGATTTTCTCTGGAATACTTTTGTGTCATCTTATCTTCCATGCGACGTCACACCTCATATATAGCTAAGAGTATTACGCAATAAATTTCTATTGCCTTTCATTGCATTGCATTGCTTTGTGTTATTTTATAGTTCGTCATAGCAAGATTCCGCAATTCAAATATACGATCTTTCATATATTCTCATTTATTTTTGTTTTGTTGTCCGCATTTTAACACAATGCCAACTACGAAAATAAAAATAAAAAATAAGTAAAAAATAAAAACTACATCTAAGTATGAAGCTTTTGTTATCACAATTATTGTACATACGAGTATTGCCCGCTTCGATACCTATTGCTTAAGAAGAAGCAAATTACAACAGTCACATGTAAAAAATATATTGCGTGACACGAGTTGACCACCTGCCCATTTCTTTCTTAGTTTTGTGTTTTACAACTTTTTACATCAATTTGTGCAACTTCGACGATAGCAAGCAATGAAAGTGTCACCTAGCTCTTACAAAATTTAGCTGCAATGAGGTAGGAAATTAATTATGTAGTCTTCGGGGCCAAATAACTGTTTANCAAGTTTTAACAGCCACAGGCGTTCTCAACAGATCCTGACAATGATTGGGACTTTCAAAGGTAAAATCTACAGTCGTTTTTCACAAGATGTCATTCGGTTTTTCCGTCGTCAGATTTAAGTTGTTTTTGAGGGGAACACGTAGTATTTCTAGTTAATGTATAAAATAAGGTGGCGTAGTAACTTCGCGTGCAGTCCAACTGGACTGCCAATCAGAACGGACCGCTTACCTGTACAGCTCACGACAGGACCAATCGCTCGTGCCAAGGCCCCAAGGGATCTGAAAATTCCCATGACTTTCCCCTTCTGATCAGCATTTCCTAAGTATGTAAATGTTAAATTAAACTAAAATATAAATAACAACAAAACGTTTGGCATCACAACCCTTCACTCCTCTCCACTCTAAAAAAGCCAACCTCGACAACAAACATTGTCATAAACTGTTTGTGTTAGCACAGAACAGAAGATTTACTATAACTGTCAATTCTATCAACTAAAGCACGACCATTAATAATTTTCATGATTTCTGCGAGACAAACATTTTGGTCAGTGCAAATCAAGGCACTTGATAGGCTGCCCTTGAGCCTTGTAGTGGCCCGAGCGTATCTCCAGTTTCTGAACATGAAGTGACCAGGAGTACTGTAATTCCACCCCCAACCCCCTGAATGAGATGCAAGTCCATTGCAGGGTTCCCTGGCATAAATTCACTGCTATCTATTTATACACCTGACAGGGGAGAGGCACCGTGACAGTCAAGTGTCTTGCCCAAGAACACAACACACTGATCAATGCAAGAATTCCAACTCAGAGTGCTTGGCGCAGACTAGTGAGCTAACTTTGCCTTTCTCAAAATTGGGCCACTCATTCCTTACAGTGATTAGAGAGGTTAGGAAAAGCCAATTAGATTTTGTGTATTTAAATGTATTTTACAGTGTCCCCATATGTTTTAGTATTTTTAGTGCTCTATTAATCTTGAGATTGAAATAAAGAAGCTATTCAATCATTTGTCTTACCGTGATGAGAGATCATAGTTGTCAGACAAGGTACTACTGTTGCTGACCCTAAAAAGGAAAAGTTAACCAAAAGATACTCTAATTTACAGTTACAGTGAAACTCGTCGTTGGGATGATACTTGTTAAATTTTGTTATCAATTTCTTTTAAATTTCTCCTGGGAGGGAAGGGAGCAGAGCCTGGTGAAACTTACAGTATTACGAGTCCTTGTGGCTGTATAACAGACAAGCCCTGTAAAGCCAGCTTTTTTCACCAGTAAAGGCATCAACAAAACTTTGCCAATTGCGTACTGTCTGGCATCACATTTTCAGCACTAAGCCAGTGCATTCAACTGCGGTTGCATGGCATAAATAAAATACCTCAAGATTATCTACTTGTACATAATGAGAAGACTGAAGAATAAAATCATCTGCTCTCAAAGAGTTAAGTATCATTGAAAAAAGGACTTACCAAAGGAGAACAATGTTAGCCCCATGTAAAGAGTGGGGATAGTCTTTGCCAAGCCTACAATAACCATTGCTGGCATTATTGCCGCCATACCCTGCAGGATGTTAATGAAAAAAGGAAGAATGAGAAAAAGAAAGAAAAATGGAAGGAAGGAAGGAAGAAAGAATAAGAGATAGGATGGAAGCAAAGTTAAGAGTGAAGGTGTAAGGGTGGGAGAAAGGAGGGAGGTTTGGAGAAGGTGGGAGAGAGGAGAGAGGGAGGGAGGGTCAGGGAGAGAGGGAGGAGGGA